AGAAAATGGTATTGATTAAGTCAACTATATAATTAGAGATAATAAGAAGCTAAAACACACTGGCGCAACAAAAGGTCGTTGACTCCATGGTCAAACCATGGCTACCTGGTAATGCTAATGTTAGCAGCAGAACACAGGAACAGCACGAGGGTTTTACACTTGCTTGCCCGTTGGGACACAACAGCTTGTGGCAATTGGAAGGTTAATTAGCTCACGTGAGCACAAAACTTTTTTTTAATCTGGAAACAGTAAGTTAGTCTAATCTTTGGCGATCCGCGAACAGGCTCGACGACGCTGGTCGGACCTTCTTGGCAGCTCTAGAGCACGCGGAGATCGACGCAAGACAGGAGGAAGGAAGTTGCCCTCTGATTCGCTTCTAAAGATGCGACACGGAAACAGCGAGCAAGTGTGTGCGCCCTGACAGGAGTCCACCTGTCGTCGATGCGGATCCCCAGTTCACAATTCCGAACTATGATTGTTTCGTTTGAGCCATGCATCGTACCGACACATGAGTAAGATAAAGGGAGTGATGACTCACACTCCAAACGCATCTCATCAAACAAAACAAAACGGAGCCGAGCCGCATTAGCAGGTTGGCGCCTCGGTTGTACTCTAGTGTTTCTCAGTCACGTAGTCGCCATGTGCATGCACAAGTAAAAATGCTCTCGTTATCACCAACTTTTCGGTATATACTTAACTAATAATCAGATCGATCAAGTCCATCGATGATCCATGCATGTGTTGCTTCCTTTGCTTCTTTCCCAGAACACACACGTTCTCATCCTGTCACCCATGCTCTCCATGCCCCCCAACCATTCCTTGATCAGCCTCAAACCAGTGTTCCCTTCCGCGAGGGCAGTCCCCAAGGCCATTTGTGATCATTGTCCTCTAATGAGACAAGGGCCAGCCATGCGCTGGAAGATTCATGTGTCCAACTATCCTTAGCAACATGCTAATAAGGAGATATACGTATGTGTTAGTTGCATAGTGCTTAGCAGGTGCTATTATATAGTTAACTGGTTATGATTGGAGTGGGAGGAGTCAGTGTCATGTGAACCCTACATTTCGGCGTCTCAGTGTTTCTTCGGTCTAGTCGTGGTGATGTGCATGTGGAAGACTGAAACTGGAAGGTGCTGTGTTTACCTTGACTTCTGATGTGCGTCAGTGAAGCAGGGCGATCTTGCCGGTCGTTTTTTTTTTGATAAAAGGCTTTTCATTGAATTGAAATATCGAGTTGATACAATCACATCAAAAATCACCCGGCCTCTGCATAACTAGATGCACACAGCCAAAAGTTCGAAGAAGTAAAGATCGAAATAAACTGGCCAAAAGCCAGAAGCAAAGATAAATAAAGCCCAGCCTATAAAGGGGCTGATCCTATCCGAAGATCACACCGCCATCCATGGGGGTAGAAAATCTCCCGGGCAGAACGCTCCAGCCCAGTAGACGCCATCATAAAAATGTCTCTGTCCTCCGGCTTCTGCAGGATAGATCACGTACGGAGCCATCACGAGCATATATGAATAACCTGCATAGGAGATAAAACACATTTACGGTTAAAAACAATGTCATTCCTGGTGAGACAGAGTGCCCAACATAAGGCAGCCGCCCGATGGTCCATCCATCCATGCATGACAGGATCCACACACTCTAAAAAAATGAATTGTGTGTTCCAAGGCTCCCTCCCTTTCCTGGTTATTTGAGAACACGGTCATATTATTGACCCTTGTGAGAAATATTTGCTTTTGCCTGAAAATTACATCGAATGTGGTGCTAAATTGAGATGCACCATGTCGACGAGGACCTCATGGCCCTCTACCACACCGACCCGGACTTAACGAAGGAGCAGCTTGCCATCGACCACTCCGTTGAGTCCCTTCGTGATGACGAGGAGAAGAGCGAGGAGATGCGCCGGCAAGAGACGGCTCCGGCTCCGGCACCGCCTACCGTCTGCCACAACGTGGAGGACTTGTGGATGGCGAACGCGCTTCTTCCATATTCAAGTCGCTTCCTCCCGACGAGCGGGAGGAAACCCTGCACGAACTGAGCCAACCGCCTGCTCTCGCTGCTCCTCCATCGAACGTCGTGCTAGCCTCCGGTCCCGGCTCATGCTACGCCGAGGAGGACTGAGGGAGTCCTGGATTAGGGGGTCTCCGAACAGCCGGACTATCTCCATTGGCCGGACTGTTAGACTATGAAGATACAAGATTGAAGACTTCGTCTCGTGTCCGGATGAGACTCTACTTGGCGTGGAAGGCAAGTTAGGCAATACGGATATGGATATCTGCTCCTTTGTAACCGACCTTGTGTAACCCTAACCCTCTCCGGTGTCTATATAAACCGAAGGGTTTTAGTCCGTAGGACAACAACCACAACATACAATCATACCATAGGCTAGCTTCTAGGGTTTAGCCTCTCTGATCTCGTGGTAGATCTACTCTTATACTATCCATATCATCAATATCAATCAAGCAGGACGTAGGGTTTTACCTCCATCAAGAGGGC